AGGGCTCGGCGGAGCCACACGGGCCGGCCGGCTCCTCGGCGGCAGGACGGCTGGGCCCGCTCCTGGCGGGGAAGGACGTGACCTTGCCTTCCCCGCCTCGGCCTCCCCGGCGCCGCCCCGGCCTGCGGCACCCGGTACCTCACAGCCTCCTCCCCGCTTTAACCCCAGTGCCTCCGACCGCCCGGCTGTGACGGGGGTGCCGGTGCTCAGGGTGATGAGTAACGTCACCTTTCAGGTGTGCGGGGCCTGTGGTACCGAGTGGCCATATGGGGATCCTTTAGTTCTCAGTCATGAATGTGCAATGCCAGGGGGAAAAGTGCCCGTTGGACGTGTTTTCTGGACCTTTGCTCTTCCTCATCAGCAGATATTAGGGTGACAATATGCTGTGGAGCCTTTTTAAAGCAGTCGTTTATAGCTGAGAGTGACTCCTATTACAGCCCCAATTTGTATTTCAGGTGTCTGTTTAACAGTAATAACAATGAATCCGATTAGATCACTTCTATATTCTACTCTACATTCCAGTGTTCATTACTCTATTCGCACAGTCCAGCAAAGGAAAATCTGTGCAGTTAGCCCCCACGGGCTCTGTAGCTGAAGTGTGCCCACTTTAAAGCTATTAGCCTTTTCCACCGCAGCAGCTGGTACTTCCTCTGCTGCTTTATAAGGCTGAAGAGTTCTCTGGGCCAGGTCATCTGATGCCCACTAAAATAAGGCTCTAGGTTGCAGGCCTGTGGAAAGTTTGAGCTGAGAGTTGAGAAGACAGAAAACAGGCTTTTGCAGATGTTTATCACTTAGGGCTATTTGCGTGTATTCAGTCTTTAAAAGAATGTGTCTAGAATGACTGTACAGCACTGGAAAAGCCAGTGTTGTGCTTTGCAGCTCAGAAGTGTGCCTTTGGTCTGTAAATGTTCGGTGGAAGAACAGAGATGCCACAGCACTCTGTGAAGTTCGCTGTCTATATCCTTGCTGTTTGTTTCTATACTTCAAAAAATAATGTATTTTTTTTCTTTTACCCCTAATCGTATTTACTGATGAGACCGAATACAACAGGGATTTACTTCGGACAGCAAAAATGGGCATGTAATGAAATAGTTTTTTATACTTTTTGCTTCTTTTTATTCATATTGAAGGGAAGCTTTGTGGCATACTGTAGTATGTAAACATGAAGACTGTTGCTGGTTTCATGGACTTTCTGCAAGTAAAACTTGTTTCTTTTTGGATGGCAAGAGAGCCAGAAACTGGAAGTAAGAAACAAATGTTTTAATTTTACTGCTTGTTTTGCAAGAGGCGCAGAATTGTGGTCTCTAATAGCTACCTGATCTGAGACAACGCTAGGTAAATTTTTCCACAAGTAGTGAAAAATCCTGTCATGGAAATAACACCTTCGGGCTGTTACGAGGTTGTCATGCAGATGCTGATGTCAGGCCTGGAAGGGGCACCAGCCGGGTAACACCAGGATGCTCCATCTGGCTGTGCTGCAGCATCCTGGCTGCCCGTGTCCTCCTGCCTGGGGGAGCACATTTGACAGACACGTTCTTGCTGGAGCAGCAGCATTAGTTTATTCTCTGCTCCAGCTGCAGTGATCCCCAGACAGCCACAATTTTTATATCTTACTACCCATATTCCATTTTCTTGTCTTTACTACCCTTTCAGCATTCTTGTCCCTCTTTTTGTTGACTTGAGACTCAGTGTGTCTCATTTCATGTTTAGGAGATTTTCCTCACCCTGTTCAGTTAGCTAAAGCTTAGGCCAGAGCATCTGTGTCTGCCTGCAGTCCTGATGGTGGTATAATTAAAGAGAGAGAGGACCTTGCTGTTCAACGTTTCGTGTTTTTTTTTTTTTTCTAAAATGTTAGGAGTGGCAAGTTGTAACTATTTTTTTTTAAATGTAACTAAACCTTTTAAAAATATACATTATATGGAACCTGATAGTGAGGCAAGTCTGCTTCTGTTTTGTGATGTTAAAATACTCCTTTATAGGTTAACAATCCAGTTGTCTAAGGAGAGCTGGATCTGGTCAGGACTGTGGGGTAACAGGTCCTTGATGATGGTCAGTTGTTGGAGCAGAGTGGCTGGCTGGGGATAGCAAAGCAACTGCCACTCCCCAAAGCCACAGCAGCGTAAAGGTTTATGTACAGAAGATCCCAGCAGAGAGCTCATGGTGGAGACTGGAGAAAATTTTATCCTTCTCTCTTACTGTGAGCTCTGTGCGTGGAGGATCAGTAAGCTTGTTAACAAGTAAATTGAAGTTGTGGCTTTGAGAGAAGTGGGTCCTCATCACGGCGATTTCATAAATGTTTTCAGCTACGTGCATAGTGCTGCAGAGAGACTCTTCTTCCCTTATTGGAATATTCCTGTAGTTTTCTTCGAAAAGAAACAGAGGGCTTCTTATAAAAAGGTATATTTGGCAGAAGTCTTGAATGATGGGAAATTGAGTTCTGTGGCCAGACATCCTTGTTACACTGAACCTCTGTGATAATGAAGACAAACTTCCTCTGAAGTTTCTGGTTTCTTTCTCTTTAAGTACAAAAATCCCATGTTGCAGAAAACCATATGTGTCTTGCGAGCTTAATTCTGTGCAAATTCTTGGTCAGGATGCTTGAGCCTAGTTACTAGGAGAGGTGTCACTGAGACTGCATGAATGCAGAGGATGGTGTATCCTCTGTCTGGTTATTTGAAGGTATAGGTGAGGTATAAGCCTTCAAGGCAGATTTTTTGTTTTTAATGATGTTCTGCTGTGCCGTGCTGTACCTGTCCTGAGTGCTTTGCCAGGGCGAGCTCATGTGCGTAGCACCAAATGTCAGATTCACTGGGGCTCATAATATTAACCAGAGTGAAGGGATGATGTGCCCTGCAAAGTGATTCTTGTGGCAATATAGCAGCTGACAGTGAATATAAAATCATAAGCATTTTTAGAAGTTAGGTGGAACAAATAGCATGTAGAGGCGCAGGAGGAGGAGGAGGAAATAGCAAGAGCTGCCCTGCAGTGCCCTGGCTACAGGCATCCGTGCTGTCTGTGTGATGCCTCATCTAAAGGGTTTTCTCTGTCTTCTCTTCTGCAGGACAGCAAGTGATTTATTTCTGCCTTTTGCAGGACATATCAACTCATGTGTGATGTATTTCTTCCAAATCCTTTGATTCTAGGTTCTTCCAAGTCCATTATTACAAATAAATAACAGGTATCTAAAAAATTACAAACTCCTGGAAATTATGCAAAGGGGAGATCAGCAACTACCTGAAAATTTCCAAATTATGGTAATAGAGTAAATATAAGCAAGACTATTATGATGGCTGAAAGAGAGCAATTTAAAAAAAAAATCAGTGATTTTTGGATATAATAGTGTACTTGGATGTGAGGGAGGAAAGTTAGACTTGGACTTTTGGTCATGAAACATTGGTACCTAAAGATTTTTGGTGGTTGTTCCCCTGGCCAACTGTGGGAATTTCTGTTTGTTGCAGCACCTTGAAAGGAGATGGTGGGGACTTGTTTTGGGTTTAGGTTATCTCTCTCATTGCTCTGTGTGCACTCGTGTGAGGGTTTGACAGCATAGACTGAGCACCTGCATTTTGGTTTCTCTCATTTTGATGAATGATGACTAAAAATGAGGATTTGGCTAATCGTAGAACAGCCCTGCTTGGAAGGGACCTTGAAAGATCATCTGATCCAGAGAGCATCTGGACGAAAACCAATAATCGCACCAAAGAAACCCCTCCTGGTGTACAAAGCATAAATGCTGAGCAGTGAGGAGCAAGGTTTCTCCTCTGCCCTGCTCGCTCCCTAAGCGCAGCCTGTTCCTCATGCAGGAGCAGATGTGTTTGCTGAAGGTGAGAGAACTGAATGAATGTGGTGTTATTTACCATCGCTGTGTGTGAGTAGGGGCTGTAGCCAACATGAAAATGGATGAACTGGCCCAGTTACCAGGTTACAGTTGTGGCAGCCTCCAGGGTCACCTAGAAGGCAAGTGCAGCCTGAGCAAGAAGGGGTGAGTGTGTTGCCTTAAGCTCCCTCTTGCTGTGTTGCAGGGTGGGATGACCTCCAGAAAGGCTGGGGAGGGGCTTGAGAGTGACAGCTTATTTCTGGGTGAGCATTAGGCAAAATAACATAAACCTGGAGTGTTGAAAGGGCCTGAAATTGAATGGATCAATAGAAAATATCTCCTGCCCTCCCATTTTATTGGGAGCTGTATTCATAATGCTCAAAATATTTTCCTCATCCTGCGTTTCATGGTGTAAGAGTCCTATGGAGAGTCAGAAACGTGTCCAGCAGTCAATTATGGTATGGTTTAAGAGGCTTTTAGGAGTGAAGTTCCCCTTGAAAGGGCCAGTGAGGCCTCAGTGTATGCTTCTGGGGCCATTGAGTCTAATCAAAAACATTACAGAATTAATTTATTGTCTTCTGTCCATCATAAACCAGAAAATCAACCATGGAGCACAGCTAGGGCTAGTGAAGGTCTCAGGGGTAAGAGCAGCATGTTTCCTGTTGCTGTACATATGCTCCTGTTACTAATTAAAAAAATTTTGGCTGCTGTTCTGGAAAGAATAAGAATTCAGTGTTCCTGCCTTTCCTCTCTACGCTGTTGGACAAGGATGGGACCTAAACCACAAGATTTGTACTTGTTACTCTGCCACATGCAAAAGGAAATAGAGAAACTTGTCTTGTAGGGTTATGTTGTAGTGCTGTAGTTTTTCTTTCTTTGTAGAAAAATTTCCTAGTTGGCCAAAATATCTCAACCTCTGGGAAAAGTTCTTTTTGTGCCTTGTACACTGATTTCCCTTGAGTCCCATAGTTCTCTCTTAGCAATTCACATGTAGGGGGGAAAAAAAAACCTGAGGGGGACAGTGGTTTTGGTTCTCTAGGCTGGAGTAGCTTAACCAGTCTTTCTGGTAAATCTTATTTTCAGCTAAAATATAAAGAAGATTAAAATCTTGGGTAATGAAGTTTTTATTAA